CGTCCTCTTTTTTGCTTGCTGGATTATGGTAACCCTACAGAACAGCTCATCCCTATTGATGTAAAGTACTTCAATGTTAATTCTAAGGGCAGGTGGACAATATACTCGTGTTGCAACATGCATATATTGTTAAGATAACAATGCTGTCTTCACTGTGTAATTTAAAGGAAGTGTTGTTGTGGTTGATTTCCCAACCCAAGTGGCTTGTGTTACGAGACACATTGCTTCATAGTCTCTCTGCATGTCCTAACTCTTCTTTCAGTTAGCTCTTAACTCTTCATTCACGATGGGCTCAAACGAACAAACCAGTCGGTACAGCTGCAATAAACCAGTGTGTTTGTCTTGCCATCATTGTCACTTTTCTCGCGGCTGATATATACTTATAAATGTAAATAAATCTTTCAACAGCACATCAGTCGGTGCTATTGGCTGCTGTGTACAATTTGTTCCAAATTCATTGAGGGCTTTTATCCCTTCCAGTTGTCTGAGGTCTAAACCAGAGTTTCTGAGCACTTGTGGTTTGTTTATCTGTATTAAAGTAGCACCTAGAGGCCCCAAATGAGATCAGGATCACACTGCGGTAGGAGCTGTACAGCTGCATAGTGCCAGTCAATTTCTTACAATCTAGATAGATAAAGGGTGAGAGAGAAGTATTCTCATCACCCCCGTTTCACAAATGGGGAAACTGAGGCACAGAGGCCCTGATTCAGGGGAGCATTTAAGCATATGCTGAAAATCAAGCAGATGCTTATGTGCCTTCCTGGATGGGGCCAAAGACTGAGAGTAGGTGGCTTATCTAAGATCACACAATGAGCCTCTGGCAGAGGTAGGAATTGAATCCCTATCTCCTGAGTCACGGACTGGTGCCTTCATTGTCAGGCTGTCCTTCCTCTCTGGATTCTTTCCTGTCTAGACTTGATCCTGAAAGATCTCATGGCACTTTTCCTAAGAGTAGGGTTTTGAGTCTCCAGTGTCTGGTTCAAATTCCAGATCTCGGGTAACTAACCAGATCTAAATTCATTCCTGTGCATCAATGGAGCTACACCAGGGGTGAGTTTGTCCCATTTTTGCCTATCTAAATTCCCCTGTTGCTTTGCAATTAGGCAAATGCTTTGTCCTTACATCAAGACACTCGTGTAGCGTTGTTGGTGCTGTAGTAACGCCTGTCATTTCCCACCCCCAGTGGGGAAATTGCATTTCGATGCTAAGCGAAGTGAATGCTGTGTGTGATGGACCGCAGTCTATTCTGTCAGTCTGCATTGGCCTCTTCACTAAAGTCAATGGAGCTTTTTGGGGTAGCTGAGAGCAGAGCTAAACCCAACAGGTTGTGAGATGGTTATTGCTGAACAATAGAGACCTCTTCATTGTTGTGCACGAGCTCTTTGCCTTGTCTCCGTCCTAACATCCCTGCCCTTAATTGCATTTCAGCTGCTGTCAGATAAGAAAACATTGTGAGTGGTGCCGAGCCTTCATCTGCAGACACGAGAAGCCCAGTGGGCTCCTGAAGGGGGGAACTTCCTGTTGCCATTCAGAGACAGGTAGGAGGAACAATTGTCGTACCAACGGCTTCCTTCTAATAGTTTCATTGGCTGGCCGCGGAGATGGAGATCCTGTTAAGGAGCTGAGTTCCGTTTAGCGGGCGTCGGTAGCAGGCAAAGTCCAAATGATCCCTCTTCTGTTATTATTTAACTTGTATCTCTCCATACCCATGGATGATGCATGACGCCTGGCAGTAGCCATTATCAGATTCTTCAAAGGAAGGTGCCACCATCTTGGTCAACACCCCGGGGACTTGACCCGGGGACCTCTACAGCTAAAAGCGTGAGCTGCTACAGTTTTTGAGCTAGAGAGTCCAGGCTGCCTAGCGCTGCAACAGACTCCTATCCTAGGTGGATCAGGCACAGAGGCGGGCCTGTGTTGGGATTCCCTCCGAGACCTTTTTTTTTTCCCCATTCAGCTGCCCAAGAACTCAGTTTGACTCCAGATTTTTGTCACTTGAGTATCTTTATTTGGCCTACAGCAAAGCTGTGCTGAGTTGATCAGATTCAAGCATAGGGGGTGGATATAGAGCGTACCACACACCCAAAGTTACACAAAAAACCTCTTCCTTTTTATATACATATACACATTATGTTGCATTTACTGTTTTGGGGATTGGCTTGGTTACTGCAGAGGTACCAATCCCTGTACAGCATGCTCTAGACACGTACTGTCCATGTATGACTTCCTATTTACATTCCAGGCTTATTTTGTCCATTGTAAATGGTTCCCTGGGTGTTCCCCCTCATTTTAGCTAGTACAGACATTGTCTCTTATCTTATTGACCCATTAACTTAGCTTAGTTTTAGCATGGACATTCTGTTCCCAACCTCCTGTTCCATTTACCTCCCTAATCTTGTCTCCCAAGAAATGAGGCCTCACCTATGTCTAATGATTCATGTCACGCCGGGCCTACAACCTGTAACACGCTTACCAGGGGGTTATATCTGCAGTAGGCAGTTATGGGAGCAGGATCAATGGGGTCCTTTTGTGAGCATCGGTACACTTCATCCTTCAGCGTCCTCTATTAGAATGGCCCTGTTTACCTCTTGGAATGCATCTGAGATCAACCTTTCATGCATTTAAATTTTTTTTTTTTTGTTGCATTCCTACCTTTTGGGGGAGGGATAGGGGAGGCTGACTTACCAGGTAAGTTAGAACTGCTGAGCAACTTTGTTTCTTAAGTGAGTTTAGCTGGCATTTCCAAGATGCAGGGTGATGATACCTAGCTCTTATATAGCAATTTTCATCCATAGATCTCCAAGCTCTTTTGCAAAGGAGGTCAGTATCATTATCTCAGTTTTACACATAGGGAAACTGAGTCACTGAGAGGGGGAAGTGACTTCCCAAGGTCACCTATCAAACTAGCGGCAGAGCTGGGAGTTGAACGCAGATCACCTGAGTCCTGGTTCAGTGCCTAATGAAGTTAAGATATAGTGAAATAATGTTGCCATAAAGATGAAGATGTTTAATCCACAAAGGATCAAAAGGAGGTGATTGTAAAATGGCATTGGTGTAACACTGAATCAGGCCCCATTGGGTCTGATCATGTGAATAAGCGTTGCTGGCTTAGACCCCATGCTGAGAGAAATGCAAATAGTAAAGCACATAGAGTGAGAAGTAATATAATCTAATAAATTAGTAAATCTTATTTAACTGAGGGAAGATTTCAAATGTGCAATGGTAGCTAACCAACCTTTGAAAATATCCCCCTAAATATGCAATTTCCCAAGTCTCACTTTTTACAGACCACCTGAATTTATAGTAAAGCATCTTTTGAATGCGGAGTGATTTTTTTGTTTTTTACACCCTTTAAAATTGATTTACAAACCATTTGGCATGCCTAGTTAGGGTTACTGCATCTGCGTGTAGACAGGTCTCATTTGTGGCACTAAATGAGCATTGATTGCAAGAGATTTCCAATTACACTGGAATAAATCACAACCTTTTTTAGCATCTCTGAAAATACAGCTTCTGTGCTTTTGGCAGTTCGGTACAACGTTTTCTTTGTCAGCGTCGGGGTTTTTTGCACAACACGTTGCAATAAATTCAAGGTGACATATGACATACCGTCTAGGCAGGGGCCAGAGTTATTCTGGATCTTTTCCTGTTTTTCTTTAATTTTGTCTCTGCTCTAATTATTTATCTTAGTCAGCCTGGATTATTCATTGCACTCACGAAGGAGACTGAGAGTTCTGTAGAAAGCATGTACTCCTCTTATTGTTAGCGTTTTGCTTTTAGATTATTAGATCTATTTATAATGGCAGCTAAGGTGCCTTTATTTGTCCTGGATTTATATAGTGCTCTCCTGAGTGGTTTGTGGCTATATCAGGTGCTACAGATTGTAGGGGGAGGTATTGTACTTTTCATACGGTGAAGGAGAGAGCGCTTTAGACTTCTATCAAGAGACGGGGAGCCCTTATCCATAGATCAGGCAGTGAAACAGCAATGTCATTTGAACGTGAACTTTTATGAATGAGCAAGAAGGAAAAACAAGCTATCTACTCCCTGTCCTATGTATTAAAATTTGACTGACTGAGTAATTTTGGTTGCCCAAATTGAGCAGCCTGGTCTTCAGAAAGTGCTGAGCCACCCACCCTCTGAAAATCAGACTGTTCTTAAATGCTATAAGTTAGGCACCCAAAATCATAAGTTATTTAGCCCCTCTGGGGTATTGCTGTAATGGAATTTCTAATGTGTTTAACCATGGAGGACCGGTCCAACAATGGTTATTGGCCAAGACGGTCAGAGATGCAACCCAATGCTCAGGGTGTCCCTAAACCTCTGACTGCCAGAAACTGGACAGGGGATGGATCACTCAAAATTGCCCTGTTTTGTTCATTCCCTCTGAAGCACCTGGCACTGGTCACTGTCAGAAGACAAGATACTGGGTTAGGTGGACCATTGGTCTGATTTAGTATGGCCGTTCTTATGACTCTTGCCTTCTGATGCTAGACTAGAGCCAAATTATGCCCTCGTTTGCTCCCACGGAAGTAGGTTAACCCTTGTGTTTTTTATTCTGCAGTGGTCTGAAGGAGAATTGGATCTGACCAATATATTAATTGCCATGGCCAGATGGGACTACTGCAGTATAATAAAGGAGGCCTCCCCCGTTCCAGAGAAGAACATTTTTCCACGGAAGAAAATGCTCTGGAGGGGACTAGTATCAAGCATACGCTACATTACCTTGACTCTTCATATGCATCCTGTATTATATGCTGAGCTTTCAGAACCTTGCCAAATCGAGGGCACCATCTCCATGGGGCTATCCAATGTGAAGCCATGAACTAATGAGTAGACCACATCTCCACAACCATGGAATCTTAAAGACTGTTTTACGAGACTTCAGACTCGAACACAAGAACTGCACGTGGGTCAGCTTCATGTTTATGTAGATGTGACAATTTGTGTGTTGGGGAGTAGGTTTGACACCAGTGATTGGGGGAAAAAGTATGTACAGTTCAGGTTGGAGATAGCTTATGAGAACAGTCTGTCAGTATCTGTCCTGTTTTGAGACTTTACGGAACGTACCTGAAGGCTGGGTCTTTGGTTCATGCATTTGTTACATACTCATTGGGAGGAGCAGTTGCAGGTCTCTGTTTTCAAAAGGGAGAACCCAACCTTTCGAAGGAACATCCTATTTGCCTGACTGCGATTTTTCCTTTGTGCTGCTGCTGCCATTGGGACATTCGCCCTGCCAGATGAAATCTGGGGGGGAATACAGGACGAGGTGAACTGGCCAGGGTTATCCTGTCCCTTTCTGATGATATTCAATTCCTCTTCATCAGGAGACAAGTTGCAAGAGAAAAATAGCAACGCTCGAGCCAGTGTGTGTGGGGGGGGAAATGTGTTCATGCCCCGGAATCCTTTGCATTTTAAATGTGATGGCAGAAAATATTCCAAGTTATTGAGGCAGAAAAATGTGTTTGGGGGTTAAATGTCTTTTGTGTTCTTGGAAAGCTGAAAAAATGGGACATGGAGATAACCATAACAAAATGGCGGCCATTGGGGTGGTGGAAATCTAGGCATTTAGAGCCTGATCCAAAGCTTATTAAAGTCTTTCCAATGTCTGTAATGGGTTTGGATGAGGCCCTTAGACTTGTGGCTTTTTGCATTTCTTTATGCTCACTAGGGACCGTTCAGAAAACTTTAGGAGTTGCTATTTTATGACAGCAGGAAACCTAGGGCCCAATCCTGCAAACCCTTCCACACGGGAATAGATGTAATTGGATAAGATAAGGGGGTCTGATTTTGATCTTGCTTACACTGGTGTAACTCCATTGGTTACTCCTAGTTTACTCTAGAGTGAGATCAGAATCAGGCCCTCTTAAGTAAATAGGACTATTCCCTGGAGTATGGATTATAATTTGTAGGTAAATGTTTGCACACCCCTAGTCGGTCTTTGAGTCTGAGAGGATAAACACACACTCTACATGATGCAATTGGATAACAAACTTGACAGTCCCACCTGTGAAATATTCTTCTGAATGTTGATCTGAAGCTTCCTTCCAGATCTGCCTGGCAAAATACAGTCCTAGAGCCAAATTCACTTCTATGGGCCTAAATGAGGCCTATCCCTCCACTGATGTCAGTGAAGTTTCCCAACAGGTGTAAGCAGGGGAATTTGTCCCTAGGTTTGTCCTGATGATTGAAGAGCATAATTTCACTCTTTTGTTTAGAAGCAAAATGTTACAGGAGGAATGCTTGCAACTTTAACCCAGATCATAGTAAGGAAAATAGGAACAACATTTTGTTTCCCATTTATCTTATATAGAGAAACAACTGCCTTACTTATTCATTTTCAAACTCTTACCTAAAGGAGACGACAATCTTATGAACTTCTGGTTTCCTATAATATAGCAACCTAACGACTGGCACCAGAGGAAATTTCGAAATAGATATACACAAGTGATGGTTTGCTCCATAATCTTAATTGAGAGAGATCAGCATGTTTAAATCCCTTGCTGGACCTTGCGCCTTGACTCGGAGTCTGACGCAGTCTTACAATGAACCTGATTCTACACCTATTAAGTCCACTCCCCTTGATTTCCTATGGAGGCAGATTGACCCCCAACCAAGATGGCTTTTGTCAATCTCCGCCCAGGATTTTTTTCCCCCACTCAGTTTAATTCTTTGATTTATTTTTAAAGCTGATTTGAAAAATAATTTTAAAATAGCAGCATCTCTGTCTGAGAGGTGGATCTTTGGCAGTGAAGCTGCAGGCACTGCATCTTGAGGGTGTGGCAGCGGGGTGTGTGGTCTGGTCAATTTCTGAGCTGTACATGTGACTCCATCAGTGATTCTAGGAGTCTGTCAAAGAGGAAAAACCCAACGCATCTAATGTCCTGATTCTGTAAAGCAGCCCTGATCAGCAAAGCACTTAAGCAAGTGCTTAAGCGCTTTCCTGAATCGGGGAGTAATTGCTGAATTACCCACATTTCTCCGAATCTTCTAAAACAATAGAGGGCCCTCTCTTCTGTTGGCTCAAAACGACTGGAGAAGAAATATCTGAACTGAAGTGCCATGTAACTGTCCTGCAGCAGCTTAATAATTCTGCTCCATCTGAGATCCCTTAAATCTCTTTTGTAGGGAGGGACCCTATTGGTCTGTTCTTGGTTTCTGAGCACTTCAGGAAACTTGGGGCCAAATTTCCTGCTGGCATAAGTGGCCATAAATTCTATTGATATCAGTGGCACTCTGACCATTTCTGTTGGTGGCAAATTCAGCCCTTAATATTGAAGCGGCAGTGCTGATGGCCATAATTACAAGGGTTGCATAAATAGCTTAGCCCTGCTTTTTAGAACGCGGGCTTTAACCTCTAACATAGGGCTCCCAAGAAAAGTTCAACCTCATTTTTAGTGTCCCTTTTCACCTTCAGACATGCAGAATGCTCCAGCCAGGAGGAGTGGGGATGGTGTTTTTAGCACGCTGATGCTTTTTAAAAAATTGCATTCAAATGTCTTATGGAAGCTGTGCATTGAGGGTCCGATTCCACAAGGGGCCAAGTCCCTTATGTTGCCTCTGGCCAGCTCTCAGCACCCTGCAGGATAGTGCTCTTTCTCTCTGTTTTGCTTTTTATATGGGGAATAAGACTAAAGAATTGATTTCTTGTAGCCTAAATTATTTAGGCTTCTCTTCACGCCTTGATGCACGTGCCCATTGGGGCTGCTATGCTTTATTTCACAAGCCTTGTTCCTTTCGTAGGACCTGACCCTGCAGCCCGTACCAACATACGTGAGCAGAGGGATGGTTCTTGTGACTAACGGTTGGGCTTGTAGTTCTCTGACCACCCCACCTTGTCCTCAGACCTTCCAGGGATGTTCCTTCTCAGGAAGATGTATTGCTGTTAGCGCTGGGTGCACCCCAAGAAGTTCATAGGAATTCATTCAAAAGCCTGGGTCAGATTTGCCTTGTGGATGATGATCTGACACTCTTCACCCATCCCTAATGGCGGCATGGTTTTAAGCCTGACTGCTGCTTTAACATCCCAACTCGGATGTTTCACCTGTTAAGATGGCACAAACACACAGGTATCTGAGACTCAACTAGGCATGTCTCCCCTAGGGGCAGCTCTGTCCCTCTGTATTACCTGGAAATATATTGATAGGCAAGAAGCTCACACATGCCTCCTGAGTTGACCCACTAGTGGGAATGTTCCTGCATCCACTAATTCGACCTTTAAAAACAAGGGGGAAAGATCCTCAGCTGATGTGAATTAACATATTTCTAGTCACTTAAATGGAGCAATGCCAGCTGAGGATTTAATCTAGGTTTTCAGACACTTTCCAGTACTGAATCCTTGCCTTCCCCCCCCCCCATTACACTCCACTAAAGAGCAATTAGAAAGGGCCATGTGTATATTCTATCTCATAATCCATTCTGTGATCTGCTCCTTGCAATTATTTGACCTTCCAGGATCTGATTTTTAAGATATTTGACTCAAAAAGTGGGATCACACTTCATTAATATGGAATGTACTTTTAAAAAAAAATTCATTGCCTAGTTGAAGAGGGAGTGGAAAGGACAGGGGAGAAATAAAGGTTCGTGTGACAATGGATATTAGGTTCACAATTTTAAAATGAAGATCTGAATTCCTCTTTTCTTTCCCCACAATGGCTTTTCCATACACACAAGTATAGTCTATCCTGTACTGTGTTGCAGGCTTTAAATTAATTGAAACTGTTCCAGGATAAGAGATTTCAAGTTATGCTTGTTCCTCAACTTTTTCTTTACTGGTAAAGTCGCAATGCAAGGTGAGGGAGAGCTAGGAGATGAAATAAATTGTGGACTTTTGACGGTAGGAAAACAAAAAGCTACGGGCTGAATCTTTGCTGGCACTGAAACCTATGGAAGTTTTGAAGTTGACTTCATTGGCACAGGGGTTCGGCTCTATGGGTCTAAGGCAATCTGGAATTATGCCGCAAAAGGGTCTCATTGAATGTAACGTTGGAAAGATGAGCACTTCTAGTGACTCAGCACATTAAGTTCTGGCCCCATTGTTTTGCCCTCGACCTCCGTGTAGCCAAGATTTCAGCCTGAGCGTTTGTACAAAAGAAGACAGCATGGCCTAGATTGCGCTCTGTTAGACTGGTGTGAATTCAGAGTAACTCCATTCATGGGGGAGACGTTTTAAAATCAGTGGGGTTAATCCAGTTTTAACAGCAAAATTAGGGTCTATATAATTTAACTACAGGGGGGAAAAAATCTCATTGGAGCTGGCATTTCAAGATCAATAAATGTGATTCAGTGGCGAGGGGTGGGGATTTTTAAAGTCACAAAGGATATCTGGTGCCCAGTGTCCACAGAAGGTCGGTGAGAGTTGGGCACCCAACTTCTACATGTGCCTTTTGAAAATCACCCCACTTCTTGGAACATTTTTGCACCCATAATGTGTGCTGTTTCATCCAGTGTTCCTGATGTTTTGACAAATTGCCTGAAATGTGTAACTTGCATTTTCCCCCTAATTTTGGATATTTTTTACCAAAAAACCTACTGTTCGGTTTTTAAAATATCACATATTTATTCAGTCTTGAAATTTTATGGCACTAGGACAGAACTACCACCTCATTGCAGGGACCATGCTCATCTGAGACCGATGAGCTCTTTATTAATAATAAAATCAGCTTTAATTCTAGGAAACTTCCTCCAGCTGGTACTCTAACCTCCAGTTGAATTGTTAACCTTTTTTAGTCTCTAAGTTTATCATAAATAACCAACCTGAAGCTTTTTTTTTTAAGTCATGGTTATTCTGTCATCTGTATATGTTGCACTGAAAAAGTTAATATTTAATGTTTTAATTTATTTTGTGTGGTTAAATTAATTTTGATTTCTGTACTATGTTGTGATTGGCTGTTTTCTCTTTAATACCTGAATTCTAGTTACTTAGAGTGATAAAGTACACTTTTTTTTTTCAGATTTTTTTTTGTCGCATTTTTATTGCTTTGAAGAGAACTCCAGCAACCTGAGGATTACTTGAAACTTTGAATGTTCCGTGGTCCCAGAATGAATGGATTTTCTTCTGTGGTGTGAAAATATTAAAATACACCGTGAGGGATTATTAGACAAGAGAACCTTGGAGATAAGAGATGCTAAAGCTCTTTATCAGCTTGTCTGTCCAATGGTTCTCAATCTCTTCCTTGCTCTTAACCACTGTTACATCAGTAAAAATAGCTTCAAACTCCCATCTAGCCATACAGAAAGTGAGTAATTCTAGAATTCCTCTTGAGATAGCAGCTTCGAAATTGAGAGCCCTTTGTCTAGTCCACGTGCCTGCACAATGCGAGATTGTTCCTTACAGTATAGTCCTCAGTGCTTCTGT